TATATATATATATATATACCCCCAAAGGCCGAAGAGGCGTCTGCGCCTTCCCAGCCCGGGGAGCCCTGGATATGGACCGAGGCGCGCTGGACTTTTTTAGGGCGGGTTGTGGGGTTCAGGGATTTAGAGGCTTAGGTGGTAGGGCTGAGGGTGCTGCAAAAGGGATTTAGAGGCGTAATGTAGGGGTCTTGATAATTAGAACAGGGTTTGGGGTATATTATGCTGTAGTTATGACAAGGAACCCCCAAAATACTATTGGTATTTATCTAGGCTTCTATGTTAGGGTTTAGGGTTTCAGGATGTGCATAGCCCAGGTGTCGTAAACGGGCTTCAGGGTGTAGGCTTCACGGGAGTTTAAGGGGACTCGAGGCCCGACCTGCAAAAAGGGAGGCTCCAGGCGATTGCACAAGTTCCGATGCAAAAACGGGTTTGAGACTTTCAGAGGAAACTCAGAATTTCAGGATGTTTGGCACAGATTTCTCGGAATTCCAAGATGTCTGGCAAAGGTTTTAGAGGTGCTCTGGATTTTTCCTTCTTCCCCAAACCCTGTTGCTTGCACAAGTATTCTTTCTGTAGGGTTAAGCAGTTGGACCCACGAGACTGGCCGTCGCGTCGCAGAAGCAAGCTCGATTCAAACATCGTGTTCACAGGATGCTTGGTTCAGGGTTGAGGGATGTTTAGGTTTACCTATAATATAGTCTCCATTGTAGTTCCTTTTTCTGGTTTAACCAAATATATATTTAGGATCTTATAAGGTATCCCCAAAAAGGAACTACAATGGAGACTACAGGTAGGGTGCGGGCACGCGTTGTCTGCCAGCATGTATATTATGAGGAGCAGATCGCCTCAACTGCCGAAGCCACGGCTGACAATGAAGCTTGGCCGACTTCTCTGGGTTGATTTCAAGAAGCTACCATAACAAGGGAAGGGGTTTAGGGTTTAGGGGTTTAGGGTTTAGGGTTTAGGGTTTAGGGTCTTACTTACCGTATATCACTTTTCTGGTAGCTTGAACTAGGAAATAAGTAGGTTCCTCAAGGAGAAGCTTGCGCAGAGACTTATTCTTCTGCACTCGTGCAGCTGAGGCACGTGATAAAGCATGTCTGCATGTGGGTACCCATGTAGCTTTTTTGGCTTCACTATACGATCTGGCTCTAACGTAAGCCCGCGAAGCTGTCCTGCAAATTCACCCCAATTCCTGGATCCTGCGCAGACTCAGTTGTACCTGTGGACGTTTTATGCATCGGTCCAAACTCCAAAGCTTGCATTTGGCCTTGGAACAGGCGTTTCTTGCACCCACTTGTACAGTTTTTTGTGCCAAGAAATCGAGAGTGGCAATGTGGGTGAGTATTGAGAGAGTAAATGACATTTGGGCATCCTTTATTGAAGAAGCCCTAAATCCTACACCCCTGCCTTTGCGTATGTCGCCTCCCATCAAGACCCTACCGAATCAGCCTTAGTGCAGACCTGCGACATCTTTCCCTATACTGCTAGATCACCGCCATTAAAGGGCTGCTTGGCTTCTGGAGATCGGGGCCTGAGAGCAGGACCGACGACAGTGTTTTGAATGCGCGATGACGGGATGACCACTTCGAACTTAAGGTGTTGGTACAAACAAACGTGGCATCATGTGGGAGTGTGGGAGTGTTATCGGCAAGCAAGAAGCACACGGCTCAAACCGCTTACCGTGCCATAAAGCCCGAAACCCGGAGATGTCTAGGCAAGAACGGCCATCTACGATGCTGTCTCGTGGCTCGCGAACACGGTGCTCTCGGTGTGCGGGGCCAGGTTGCCTTGTGACATCAGGGCCTGAAGCGCTAGCATTGCATTGAGGCGCTGAGGCTTCGGGTGTGGCGTTTCTTTCTAGGTTCCGGATCCCCCCCCAGAATCAGAGCATGTTGGACACATGCCACCGGTGAGGCTATTGACCTTCACCAGCCCTCCGACACTGGTACCCTTAAGCTGCAAAGGGGCTCAGGTGAAGCACAGACAGCATGGAATTATGGACTCTGGGAGCTGACGCTTTCTTGTCTTCGTTAGCCGATCTCCAAGAACTTAGCAGAAACACCAGCTACGCATGCGCAGAGTTCGCATTCTATCCCTTAAGTCTCTTGCATTAGTACATTGGTAGTCACGCAGCGCTTACGATCTTGAGACAGCGACCGACTATAGCGACCGTTGCTGATGCTCCTCCTCCTCCCCTCCCCACTCGTAATTATCGTCCCTCCTTACTGCCTCGTTCCTATTTGCAGATTGCTCTTCCATACTCCTGCGACAATTCCTTTCGCAGCCCCTGTTGGGCGAGTGCTGCTGCTGCTGCCACCGCCACTCCTGCTGCCGCCACCGCCGCCACGATGACGACGAACGACGATGACCACCACGACGACGACTACTACAACCAGTACCACTACTAACTTCTGGTACTACTACCTGTAGTCTCCATTGTAGTTCCTTTTTGGGGATACCTTATAAGATCCTAAATATAAAGTTGGTTAAACCAGAAAAAGGAACTACAATGGAGACTATGGGTACCACGCCGTTTCTGCCTGTTCGCCTTCTCGGCTCAGCGACGCTCGTCCGCGAGGGAAGGCTGCCAGGGGCACCTCGGAGGCAAGTTCCGAAAGATTACCCGTGCTGCTTGGTTTGTGCAGGGTCTTTATGGGTTCGGGGGGTAGATAGAGAGCCACGAGGCCACGAAAGCAGTCGTTGCGTATGTTGCCGGCTGGAGGGACATGCCTTCCGGTTTTTTTTGCTTCATATTCTATCGTTTGGGTGCTGAGTCCATGCTTCTGGGTGCTGGAAGGCAATGGTCAACAGAGAATCCTATCAGCACAGCAATGCGGGCAATGACTGTGGGCTTGATACCATCCTGGCAGCCTGGCAATGACTGCCAAAGGCTGCCACTCATGCTGATGATAGCCGCAGACGTGGCAGAGTAAAAGCAAAGCATGTCGCCATCGCATCACACACACACGTGTATATATATATATATATATATATATATATCGTCTTTCGGCTTGACCTTGCCATTGCCAATGGCACGGTCCGGCGCGGAACCGACGACTCCTTGGCATAAGGGCAAGAAGTTGATGTGTGTATATGTGTTATTCGGCTCGTTGCGGAGGTGTTGCTTGCAGGATCATCCTTGTTCTCGGCAAAGGGCTTGCCGACATATTATCTCTTTAGGTGTTGGGTTTGTGTGCTTCAATTGTTGTTGAGTTTGCGGCAGGATCTACCCACGACTTAGAATGGATCCTAACCCATAAACGCCAAGCAAAATTTCATGGCAGCAGCTGAGGCCATGAAAGCCGTTCTGGCAGCTCGTCGGGCGGCGCTTCGCCTGATTGCAGTATTTTGTTGAGTCACCATGTTGTCCTAGGCTACCCCACTGAAGGTACTACAGGTCAGGGTCCAGGTGGTGTCGTGGTATCGGGGATAAACGGTTCTTGGCTTGAGGACTGGAACCAAGATCACGTCAACTTCAGCTGGCTAACTTGTTTTCTTTTGCTGGACATTTGGGTAGTGGAAGCCAATGCCAAGGTCCGTAGCAATATTCCTATCAGTACATCGTATGTCTTATGAATCACGCTTCCACATGCTCAGCGCTCATGGCAAGCATGGGGCTCTCGCATTTCAGGGCTCGGTGGGGGCTCTGTGGGGCCGTGAAACTGCGTCGGAAGTCCTGTTCCGCATACCCACCTGCCACTAAACTTAAACCCCGAGCCATCAGTCCTCATCTCCGAAACCCGAACCCTTAATGTAGGGGCCTTAATAATTACCTATACTATTTTGGGGGTTCCGCATTATAATGATTATAATATAATGGGCCCCAAAGCCCTATTCTAATTATTGGGCCCTTACATTAAGTTGACTTCTGTAGACCTGCAAGGTCCCGCGCTGTGCCACCCGTCTACAAGGGCTAGGACGGAGGTACCTCTACGAGGCCGGGAAAGCACAAGGTAGTTTAGGGTTTAGGGTTTAGCCCCCGAACATTCAAGCGATTGCACAAGTCCTGATGCAAAAAGGGTTTAGGGGGCGGTCTTGCTCTAAATGAGGAGTCCTATCCCCATGTGATGCCCTACGTCTTTAGCATCAAAACCGGTCCTATCCCTATGATTCCCTATGTCTTTAGCAGGAAAAACGGTGATTGGAAGCCAAATTTGCAAAGCACCTTCGCAAGGTTTCAAGTAAGCCTGTTGGGTACCCCTCGCGGACCGGCTTGCGCCGTCGCGCTTTTCTGCAATCTATGCATCTTTCTATCTATTTGCCTATCTACCTATATATTTATATATGTATAGAGTCTATCTTACCTATGCCAGACATGTAGATACACACACGTGTAATATAAGTATAAATATAAATATATATAAATATATATATATATATATATACATATTATGTATATATATATATATCTCATTATATACATGTGTATGTTATACATATGCATATATATATATATACACACACACACACATATATATATATATATATATATATACATATGTATACGGCTAGGGTTTAGGACGCAATTGGGGTTATCTGCCTGCCAGGATGCAGTGGCATCCGGAGCGAACGCGCGATATTTGGAGAACCTCTATCTGTGGCCCAGCTGAACCCAAAAGGCTCCATGGACCTTTTTTGGTAGACACGTAAGCCTTGAAGGGGTCTTTATTAGGCTACTGTAAGGCCTATAAGTATATACTATGTGGGTACATGGAGCCTCAGGGAACCAATGCAGGCCATGAGGTCCTAGGATTTCTCATGCACGGCATTGCAGAGCAGAGTCAGAGTCTGTCTGCCGGTGTGTGTGACAGGTTCCATCAGGATGACCGTTGCAAGGGGTTTAGGGGGTTTAGGGTTTAGGGGTTTAGGGTTTAGGGTTCTGTGGGCTCGGACATTCAGGCGATTGCACAAGTCCTGATGCAAAAAGGGTTTAGGGTAGAGGTTTGGTTTTGGCATCTGTGTATTGATGCACCTTCGTGTTGGCAGCATTGCAGTTGTTCTGTAACTGCAAGCATCCCAAGAGCTGAACGGCCCTAAACTCAACAGGCCCTGGCAGTTTTTGGTAGTATCGAAAGGGTTGCTAGATTGACATGAGCTCAGCTGCTCAAGTGTTCTGCTCAAGTTCGCTGCAAGTCTGCCATCAGGATGCTAAAAAGGTACTATAAGGGTACTTTAAGGGCGCTTTGAGAGTGTGTCCGGGATACCATTAAGGGTACTACTACGAATGGTACTGCAAAGGTGCTATTCAAGGACTACTTCCCGGACAATGTGTACTAGACTGTTTCAAGGATTTCAGTTTAGGCTTGCGGATCCGGGCCACTCGCAGGCCCTATACTCTATTAGACCCATCTCACACTCATCCTTGCCGGCATTCTTGCGCTGCTTTTTGAGAACCCCTTGATTGGCAACTGTGACGACTCCCCACGCGCAAGAATAATTGCAATTGGGATCCTAGTAGGAGGCCCTTCAATAAAGGGGGTTTACCATCATTCACCCGGAGTGCACACTAAACTCCTCTCACTGTAGGATCATGGGGCTTAGTAAATAAGGTTATAAGGCCCTTAATTGGGGTTATAAGTATAGTTACCCTAATTATAACCCTACTTACTAAGTCCCATGATCCTTTAAGCCCTAAACCCTACCCCCTAAACCCTAATTATAACCCTACTTACTAAGTCCCATGATCCTTTAAGTAGGCAGCCCGGCAACCTGAAAGGCCCCTTATGCTCCCAAGGCAGTGGAAAGTGAATCCAGCCAAGCTGGACAGCAAATGGCCGCTTTGTTCGACTGGAGACCTTTGGGGAAGTGTCGAGATGAGAGTGTGTTGTGGGTGTACTCGGGCTTACGTATGCTTATGTTTGAAAGCGTATACTACATACATGTGTGTATATATATATATTTATATTTATATTTATTTATTTATAAATATACATGCAAAAACGACATACATTTATATGTATATGTAGGTGTCTATAGAAATATATATTTATAAGTATGCATGCATGCATGCATGCATGCATGCGTGTATGCATGTATGTGTGTGTGTGCCTACTGCGGCATGATGCACGACATGAGAATGGCGTGAAATATGGCATATAACTGATGGTTTATGCTAGTTGATGTTTCGTATGTGTATATATTCATATATACATGACCATGCCAACCCCTGACATCTAACTTTGGCCGCTGACATAGCTCAAGGAGTTCTATGAGCGACCAAAGTTCGATGTCAGGGCTTTGCATGCGAGACTGCTACTGTAAGGGCCTTAATAATTAGACTAGGGTTTTGGGGTATATTATACTATATTATATTATATTATATTATATTATATTATATATTATACTATACTTATTATAGGGAACCCCTGGTTTTAGCTCCGCTTATTACGATAGCGACATAGGAGCTGCACAGGAAAATGGGACTCCGACCCTCAGATGTGAAGCCTCCGCCCTAAAGAGACGGTACTTGGAGGTTCATGGGGTAGTTATAAGTGGGGTTATAATTCCCCTAATATGGGTTATAAGTATAGTTGCCCTACTTATAACCCCATATATAACTACCCATGAACCTCCAAGTATGATGTGTGCTTGCAACTCGACTTGAGCTCACTGGCAGGTATGTAACAGTTTGAGTGACAAGTTGTTGTCATCTTGCTCTGGCTTTTGTGTCGTGTCTTTGTTTGTTTCTTAAGCAAGTGGCCTGTAGGTTGTTCAAACAAGATCTAACAGAATCCAAACGAGACGTAAGTAAGACCAAAGATCAGGTTAAACATTGCACTGGCCAACATACTGACTGAGCTTCTGTATCCCGTGCTGAAACGAGATCGCGGTGCGCGATTATTTTTGTTGGCGTGTGGGGATCTAGGTTTATAGACGCTACTGTATCCGAAGGGTTTAGGATTTCCAGTCATTCCCTGGCATGGTAATGGCACCTCGAGTCCTCTGAGTGCTTAAGGTGACCCGGCGAGGGCTAACATGGCTACCGCCCAAATCCAGGGGTGCGCAAGCTTGAACCGAAAGTCATGAACATTAATGTACCATTGCTGCTATTGTTGGTATTTCTCTTATGGTGATGATAACTATTAGCATTAGTATTATTGTTTTTTATCGGTGTTCGTATTGTTGGTGTTATTCCTACGACGAGTCTTCTTATAGCGGGGAAAGAGGACGAAGGCACGGAAGACTCCGTCGCCACAGCCAGAAGGGGCGAGGGTTCAGGAGTCCGAGGATCTTAGAGGTTCAGGGGTCTATGGGTTAAGGGTTTTGGGGTTTAGGGTTTCGGATGATCCTGTATGCCGGAAGTCTCACGTGTTGCATACTCTCCTCCCAAAGCCATGCTTTGCTGACCTTGAGGCTTCAGTAGTTTGAGTTGGGCTATCTTGAAACAATTCACTCGGAAGCCATGGAAACCCGTATGACCCTTATGACGCCCCATAAAACCCCAGTCTAGAAGCCGTGTGAATCAATATAGAACATATAGAGGCCCAACAAAAACCCTACAAAGCCCCACAAAAGACTTGTCAGCACAGCCGAAATAATTACCAATATTACTGTTAGGGTTCCTCACTATGAATATACCCTAAACCCCAAACCCTAAACCCCTAAACCTGCTGGGCCCCTTTATAGTATATTCATAGGGTTCAGGGTTTAGAGGGGAAAACCCCTAGCCCTAAACCCTAAACCCTATGAATAAACAAATATATATATATATATATATATTTAGGATCTTATGAGGTATCCCCCAAAAAGGAACTACAATGGAGACTACAGGTACTATAAAGGGGCCCAGCAGGCCTTAAGGAATCGATGCCCAGAGCCTTCCCAGGAACGATTACTTTCGCTCCCTGGAGGCTCGCAATGGCTCAGGGGTTTAGGGGTTCAGGGGTTTAGGGTTTTGGGTTTAGGGGTTTAGGGTTTAGGGTTTAGGGTTTAGGGGTTTAGGGTTTGCGGGTTTAGGGTTTAGGGCTGATTGGATAGAGCTCCGGGTTCAAGAAGGGGCTCAGGGTTTGGGTGACCCCACTTGCAAACGGGTTTCGGGTGAGGGTTTGGGGTAGAGGGTTCAGGCCGTCTGTTCATAGGGTTGTTTTGGGGTTTTGTCTGTAGGGCTTGTAGGGTCTAGAAGAACGGGGTGTAGAGTAAAAACAAGGTATGCTAAACAGACTCTAGGCTTGGTGATTGACAGCCTTGCATCTTGGGGTGTAAAGTCATAGGGGCTTCAACGTTTCATGGTTTTCGTTTCACGGATTCAAGAGAGTTTGATGATCTGCAGGGTTTTTTGTTGTAGGCTTGCAGGCTTAGAGTAAGTTCAGGGCAGTCTTGTTCGGGCAGCCGGCAAGTCCAGCTTGAAAAATGGCCACGGTCGGGGCTGGGGTTCATTTATGCTCTGGGTTCCTTATTATACTTGTTGTATAACATACCCCAAAACCCTATTCTAATTGGCAAGGCCTCTATATTATTACAGTTACAGGAACACGGCATTCATCGCCGCAGCCGTGCCAGTCGTAGCCACAGCAATGTGCAACGTAGTCTGGCCTAAACCCTCTCTGCGTGTGAGAGTCCAACCTCCAATAATTTCTTCCAAAATCCGAAACCCCCTCTTTCTCCTCCGAATCGGCTGGCCCCTTGATGCACTTGTGAGCTCGAACCTGGACCCAGCTAGCGAGCGCAGCTCAGTTTAGTGTTCTGGGGGAGGGGAGGCTGATGTTCTTGAGCAGCCGTAGAACAGCGCACGCTCTTCGCAACGTGCGTTATCGGCGTAAGCCTTCCGCTATCACCTGCCGCGCCGCCGAGGGCTCGAAACTGCTCCCTCTAAGACTCTAAGGGGCCCAAAGTGTCTAGGGGCAGCGAGATCATGTTGGCGGTGTAAGGGTTTAGGGCTTAAGGTTTAAGACCATGCTATGTTGTTTTGGGGTACATGGTTTGCCTCGATGCAACAAGAGAAGAGATCACAGCAGCATCGTGCCTCTGGTACGGTTCCATAAACTCAGCTTGATTTTTCAGTCCGGTCACCCGTGGCTCGCCACAGCTCCATAAGGCTGCATATGACAATGATTATGGCCCTTATTTTTACCTTCTGGGCTTTGAGACCCTGTATTTAGCGCTCTGCACTTTGAGGGGGGGCCATGGAGCCACCCAGGCTGCCGACTTTGGATGAGGTGCGGGCAGGGTAAAGTCGGGTAAGGCTTGGCAAGAGACCGGACATAGAGGAAACCTGGCAGAGAGAGAGAGAGAAAGAGCATGACATAGGGGCGTTGCTAATTTGAATAGGGTTTCGGGGCCTTTTCTAATATAATTATCATAAAGCGCCAAAACCTTATTCTAATGATTAAGGCCCTTACAGTGTATAGCTAACCCAAAGTGGGAAGATGGCGAAGCCTGCGGCTTGTCATCAGTTCAGCCTGGCTGTTCAAACGCATCGTGCCTGTCACCGTTACAAGCCGAAAGCCGTAAGTGCAGAGGAGTTTCTTTGACAAGATCCGACCCCCGTTCCGATCATCCAGGTGATAGCTGTTGCTTCCTTCGGTGCTGCTACTCCTAGCAACAAAAGTCGCCCTTGCTCCGGTTCTGCTTAAACTTCCTAAACCGTAAGCCCTAAACCCCTCAACCGTTGAGGTCTCCAACGAAAGCATGAGCCCAGCAGCGACGCCTCACGGGGTGTTACGACTGGACGCGACGCGCTCCCTCGAGGCACTTCTTCAGGTAAAGCAGGGCAACCCGACGGTTAAGGATTTAGGAGTTGGGTTTAGGGTTTAGGTTCCTGCCTTGGGGATACTTTAGGGTCTGGTTCAGAAGATATGCGTTCGGGGGCTATTGTCACTTGTTTAACATGGAAGGGGCACGAGGCATGTGATGACCATCTTCTGGTTTACGCCATGCGGACCGAGTCCGTTCCGAGTGCTGCAGAGCACGTCCGATGACGAGAACAACGTCATCTTAAGCAGCATCGCCATCAAGCGCTTTCCGTTACTCATCATCGTCATCACAAGCATCATTGCCACTGCCGCAATCATCATCATCATCATCAGCACCCCTACCACTACCATCATCATCCTGACCACCATGAAACGCTCGGTTGCCATCTTCACACCACCACCGCCAGCATGCGTGTCATCATCATTCATTTTCACCACCCGCTGCATGTCGTCAGCTGACCCATCGTGTAAGTTATCACATCCACGAGGCAGAAGGCTGCGCCAGTGTTACCAGCAGCAAGAACCCCAGACCCACCATGTTGAGAAAGCCCCCCACTACGTACTGAAAAAGATAGCAGTAACGACAACACTGACTGCAGTTCTACTATGTCACTGCCGCGTGATCACGAGGACCTGTACTTGTCCGCCTGAAAAGCAAACACAAAAAGATACTCACTAATAACAGCAAGAACCGCTTCGCGACTCGCTCAGCCATGCAGGAGGCAAAACCAAAAAAACAATAACAGTACCAATGGTGAAACTAATGAAGACGAATAGTGACAACAATCATAAGCACTAGTAGTTGCCATATCCAATGGACGTGACCATTTCGACCCAAGCCTGCTGAACCTTCCGTGTTCCAAGTGCAGTACGTAGCATCGGATACCGCAAGAGTCGTTGAAAGAAGAAGCTGAGCTCGAACCGTTACTACATTATATGAGCATATGATAGCATGTTTAAAATATTACAGTTATTACAGTATATGACCAATACCCATTCAAAGCTCTGATAAAACAGATATGCCATACCAGACGATATGTGCAGTCCCCAAGAAGAGCCTAAAGGCCTGGCGAGTTCCGATTCCAGAGAGCCTTGGACCTATAAACCCTAAACCCTAATGCCCCAAAAGGTCATCGACTCACAAGAGTGGATGCCGGACTGGCTGACAGAGGAAGACGATGAGAAGGCAGCCGTGGTTCAGAAGTCTGGCTTTGCTAAAGACCTAAGAAGACGATGCATATATATATATATATATATATATACACGCATATGTATGTACGTATGTATGTATGTGTATGTATGTGTATGTATGTGTATGTATGTGTATGTATGTGTATGTATGTGTATGTATGTGTATGTATGTGTAAGCCTGCATGCATGCATACATGTATATATATATATATATGCATGTATGTATACATACATATAAAATACATTGGTCGTATAATGTACTCAGCCGCCCTCTTTCCTAATTGTTAAGCCGAGCATACCCGCATATTACATTTCGGGTTTCGGGATACCTCAAAACCTTCAGGAATTGTGATCAGCAACTGAACCCAAGCGCCCTGCGATCCATGGTAAAGGTGGAGTGCCCCAAGATGTCGCGCCCATCAACGCCGGGCGTGCAGATGTTGGGGCAGGAAGGTGGCTCGCCTGCTTCTCCAGTCAATGATGGGGATACGCCAAAGGTTTGCTTTTGCTTGCAACTTGTTTTTGCTTTTGGTCCTTAGTGCAACCTTTACATTTTGCCGGTGGTGTTGGTGCCATTTGGTGCCATTGGTGGTGGTAGCAGTAGGCGTCGTAGGTAGTAGTAGCAATCGTCGTCGTCGTGGTGGTAGTAGTGGTAGTGGTAGTGGTGGTAGTAGTAGTAGTAGTAGTAGTAGTACGAGTACGAGTAGGAGTAGGAGTAGGAGGTCGTCGTCGTAGTGGTAGTGGCAGTGGTGGTGGTAGTAGTTGATTGTAGTAGCATTAGTCGTAGCAGTAGCAGTAGTAGCAGGCGTAGCAGGCGTAGTGGGCGTAGCGGTGAGCAGTAGAAGTAGCCATAGCAGCTGGAAGAGTTGCACTTCTGGAGCAGCACCCTACACCTGCAGGCTTTCAGCAAGACCCTCCAGATCGCCTCTGGATCTCCGAAGAGCTTGCAGAGCTGCCCCTTGTTTGCAAAGCTCAGGGTAAGGTCTCAGTGGGGATTAGGCCGTCGGGGCCTGGGGCTTCACTGTTTTAGGAGGAATTCACAGCACCAGTAGAATCACAAACCTTACTGTAAGTGTTTAACTAGAATAACTAGAAGCCTCCAACGCAGGACACGAACCCATAATAAGTAAGTTTGACAACCACGAGCTCACACACCACATGCCACCAACAAGTCCTGCAATGCCCTGTTTGCCTGGTACCAAACCGTTTTAGGAACCTAAACCCTATGTCGTAAGTAGTGGGCCGGGGACATGTCTCCTGCGACTTCTTTACGCGTTGTGGGTTTGGCACGGTCTCCGATACGGTCTAGCAAGGTGGCTGCTTGGCGATTTTTCCGGTTTGGCCTATGGTTGATAACTTGACACGAAGAAGGCCACAAGCCTTGCACTTTACCTTCCAAAATGCTGACAAGAATCCTACAAGTTTCTGAGCCTCACCCGACGTTTACGGCGTGTGCGGTTTAGGGGCTTTGAGTTCTATATCTTACTAATGCTGCCATCTCCACCACGCAACTTCGAAGCAAGTATGATGCAATTGTACTGCGCTGCAAAATGAGATACAATGTAGAATGCCCGTCAAGGCATGGACAGCGCCCCATGTTTACACGGTAGTCCACCACATTCCGAGAGTCTGGCTGTACTCGTGACATGAGCTATTTGCGAGTGGTGGCCTATGCTCCGGCTATCTCTGAGCAGCACAGCTTGACAGCAGCAACCAAGACCTGTAGAATAGTCCGAAGACAGTAGCAGCAAAGAGACACAGCTGGATGAGAGCCCCTAACCCTAAACCCAAAACCCTAAACCCTAAAACCCTAAACCCAAAACCCTAACCCAAAACCCTAAACCCCTAAACCCTAAACCCAAAACCCCTAACCCAAAACCCAAAACCCTAAACCTTAAACCCGAAACCCCAAACCCTAGACTCTAAACCCTAAACCCGAAGCTACTA